AAAAACCACATAAAAAGAATTTTTTTTTTCCTTCTACATATTTGATACATTCTTTTTGATCTTATTTTCTAGGAATATTTGAAGAAAAAGCAGAAGTATCAATGGAGTATTCAGATGAGGAGAGCCCTTATCAACCTATCAATGACCCATGGAGTCAAGAAGAAGAGAGCCTTGCCTTTTTCGAAAAGGAGGCTGGCTATGAATTCCCACCATGGCATGAGGACGAAATTGACTATGGTCATGATCCAGGCAGAGGAGAACCTGAGCCTGAACCACCAGACCACAACAAAATCCCCTAAAACTACAAGAGGTGGTATGAAGAAGAAGAAGATGAATGGGGAGAAGGCTATGAGGAAAACAACTCCATGGAAGAGTACATAACTGAAGATGACGAATCACAAGGAGGATATGAGGAAGTTGTAGGCCTTGAAGAGCAGCATCCTAAGCAGACAGACAACTTATGGAGTTCAACATGGAGCAACCCACCTAAAACCTCTAATTCTCTCAATTCTCAAGTTTATTTTGATTTTGATTATCAATCTGCTAATAAACTTCAACTCTATGCATTTTCAGGCACAGAAAACTATTTAGAGTGGGAAAGAAACATAGATGAGTGGTTCTACTACAACAACATCCTAAAAGAGGAGAGATTAGCTTATGCAATTGGCCAACTTGTTGGAGATGTCTATAACTGGTGGTTGTAAGAAGAAGATGACTGCTGGTTCTACAAGAAGCCAACCATAACCACCTGGGGAGATCTCAAAGCATTACTAAGGGATAAGTATGCACCAAAAGATTTGGTACCAAAAATCCCTCAACTTTATCCAAGGAGTTTCTTCAACTACAAAGCAACAAACCATGCTCTACAAGCCAATATCCTAAAAGAGCAAGAGCAAGGGACCAAAAACGTGGTACAGCAGCATGAGTACGTGGAGCACAAGGCAGAAAAACCTCCAACACTTAAGCTGAGATCAACACTGGCGCTCACTGAAGCCAAAAACATTCCATTCAATCAACTCTTGAAGCATTTAGAAAACAATCACCAAGGTAAGTTTCTAAACTCTAATTTTTTTTCAGAAACTAACTTAGCTTTACTTGGTGCAGATGCTATTGTTTTGAGGACAAAACCTCTTCAAGAGGGAGAGTATGATGTAAGCATCAAGTCATATACAACTGAACCAGTCAAGAGATGGAGCATTGGAGCTAAACCAGATGATGCTAAGCTTGTAGCTGAGGAGCTTAGAGGCTTTGTAGCTGTGTTTGAAGAAGCTGAGGAGTATATATCAAAACACCACCATTCTGATCATCAAAAGGAGCCTTCTAAATCATCCCTGGTTCAATACAAGTCGTCACTTAACCAAAGAGAACCACCAAATTGCCTTAAACCACCAAATGGAGCCACATTGGAGCTAACTAAGAAAAGATGGGATTTCATGACATTATATTCGCCTCACCACTTTATTCAACCACCAAGGAGTATTTCAAGATATTCAGGATTACTAAACCACGCCAATAACCAGCAGAAATCGTCCCAAATCCAAGAAGAAACCAAGAAGAAGCTACTTGCTTAAAAGAGCTTGATTACTTTGCTACCTTTGGAAAGCAAGACCAGAATCTCTTATCACTTGAAGATCTCGACCATTCATTCACTTCATCACATCCTGAGCATCAAAACCAGTCAAAGAATCCTTACATTTCGTCACCACAAATCAAGCTCTCATTCCCCCATTATGACAATGGCTAGAAGACCCAAAATCCCATCACTTAAGCTACTTTGATCATATTTTATGCTTTATCTTTAATTCTTTTTGTTACCGTTTTTCTACCTTATTTATGAGCAATATATAAGCTCATTTCCAGTGTATTTCATATTCAGAATTATTAAAGAAATTAAAACCCCATTTGTTTTGTTTACAAAGAAAATTCTTTGCAACTAAACTTGTTCCTGTTTTTCTTCTAAGTGTTGTGGAATCAGCCTTGAAGATTTGTGTAGAATCTCCTATACTCTTGCGTGGATTAGCCCTTGAGATAGCAGAATCTAACATTTGGAGTTTGTGGTCATCAAGCTCAACCTGACTTTCCTTCATACAAGTCATCCTTCCATCCCCTTAAGCTAGAAGCAAAGATTCAAAGAAGCTTTACTTGAACCACATTTCAAGTATTGTATCAGTGTGTAACCCAAGCATATCCTTCGATGTGAATATGATCGTTGGATGGTAATCCACGGGGCGAGGGAACTTTCGCGAAGTAATCGCTTTTCGGCCATATTCTTTGATGGCGTGAACTGAATCGTCGCAGTCGGGACGTCCTCCCATGATCATGTTAACCCGTCTCTTGGGCGGAGGGGGTGGATTGTCATGTTCGCCTTCATCGTTTTCGTGCTCTGCTCCTTTATCTTTTTGCTTTTCTTCGTGCTTTTTCTTAGGCGAACGACTTCGACGTCTTCCTCCGGAACTACATCGGCTGCTGCTTTTCCCTGGATCTCGGCGATCCTTGATGAAGGTGCTTTGGCACGAGTCCCTAGGATTGGAACTGCAGGAGTAGGAACTTTTGTTCTGGGATCGATCGCCACCAACATCAATTTTGCCTTCCTTGTATTTTTTTCATACAACGAGTTCTGGAGGTGTCGACATGCCGAGGTAGCATGTCATGTTCGCCCGTGGAAGGAGCAGTAGATATCGTGGTTGTCATCCCTGTCGTCTGAATTTCTTGGAGGATCGCCGCGGGTCCACTGATTCCAGGGCTTTTCTCCGGTAGCCATGATGGCATGAGAGGACAGCTTGCTTTTGCTTGCGAAATCCTTATCTTGTGAGGTGCTTGCCACGTCTATGTCGTGCTTCTTGGCATAAAAAAATTTTCTCCTCCTCCATTCGTATGAAAGTTTGAGCTCGGTGAAGTGTGTCTTCTATAGTTTCTTTCGGTTTCTTCTGCAGATCCTCCTTGAAGGAAGATTCAAACCATATGTCGTTCATGAGTGCCTTGATGGCTAAAGCTTGCGGGATCTGGCCGTACGCCGCAGTGGTGTTCTTGAATTTTTCAATAAATTTGCAAAGCGGATGGTCACGCTCTTGTATCGAATGAAGAGGTTGACCGTCCTCTTCGTGATGAATATAAAGTAGTGTTTTATGAAGGTATGGGTCAAATCCTTGAAGAATTTGATCAATGCTGGTGGGAGGTTGGAGAACCACTTGAGAGCGTCCTTCTTGAGATGCTCTACAAAGGTATGACAGTGGTTGGCTTCGCGTTCGAGGTCGGTCTCGAACTGTTGTCTCTTCATGGCGACGTTGAACCCTGTCAGCCACAGGTTTGGGTCCTCCATCTCGTTATAGTATGGGAGTTTTAGTTTGATCGCCTCGCCGAGTCGAACGTCTGTGATTCGGGGGGCGAACGGGTTGCATTCAGCGTCTGATATGATGGCCGAGATCTCGGGTGCCGAGCTGGTGGCACGGTGGACTTGAGATCCGATCGCGTTAATTCGTTGGTGCAGTCTTGCGATCTCAGAGTTTAGTTTGTCGGATGGTTCTTCATCGGTTGGTGTTGTGCCCCGAGTGTTGGCTTGCTCTGGTGTCTCGAAGATCAAGCGTCGCCCTAGCGGTTCCCATCTCGCGGTGGTCGCGGCTGCCAAGGTGCTGAGTTGCTCGTCATGCTTGGCTTGTTGGGCCTGAAGGGTGTCTAGCTTGGACACCAGGTTTTGTGTGAGAGGGAGTAAGGCGGCTTGGATTGCTGCGGTGAGGTCGGTGGAGAGGACATGAGCTGGGGGTGCTCCCGTGGGTGGATTTGCGGTGGTTGGGTTGCCGTGCTCGTCGAGAGCAGGTGTGCCGGTACGCATGGTGGTGTCCTCGTTGTTGCGGGTGAGGTCGCTGCTATCAGACGGAAGGCTCATCGCTTTGGTTCTTTGGTCGCTAGTTTCAAGAATTTATTCTCCTAGTCCCCACAGTCGGTGCCAATTGTTGAACCAGAAAATCAACACTAAAGACTTGATTAACAATTGTGGGTTTCAGAGAATAAGATCTTTTATTAATAGCAATAAAGCGAAGCGATTACAAAGACTGGTATAACCGAGAGGTTATGCCGAAGTGAAAGAAAGTGTTTGCGAAGTAAACTAGAAAGCGTTGGAGTCTCTGGTTTTAGCTCTGTTACTCTCTAGATTGTATGAGTTGGTTTCTTCAGCTTCGGGGTCTTCTTATTTATAGGGATATGATGTTGGTTGTTCTGAACTCTTTTTCCTTTTCCCTTTGTTGAATATTTCTATATTTGCGATATGGAAATATCCCTTACTCTCCAAAAAATATGAAAATTCTCCTTTATCCTTCGAGTGAATCCGATGCTTCCGAACTTCGAAAGTTATCTTTAGGAATTTTTTTTTTATCCGAACTAAGTCAGTGCAGTTTTCCTAATCTTAACGGACTTAAGTTATTGCTAGAGAAAACGTTTTAAGAAATATGCTTGTTTTTCTTCTAACATAATAAATGAATTTATATAATCTATGTGCAATTTTAAGAAGAGCAAGGTGTGTTTCTTGCTGGTGAAAATCAGAACAAACCGATACACTTTTTTTTTTTGGTGAAGTAACAAACCGATAATAAACTTAGGATAAAAAACTGGAGATTGTTTTTTTTAAAAAACGTAAAACTTACTTATCAACAAAATGGAAAGAGAAAATTAACATATGGAGCTTTGTCAACGAAAAATTAATTTTTATTTATTTTTTGGTCTATATGAGTTTTTTTCTTGTTGGAAAAGAAATAGTATAGACAGTTTGTAGAAAACAAAAAAAAAAGGGAAAAAATAAGTAATAAAACGTTCTAGAGAGTTCCACTCCACAACAAAACCTTGAACAAAAGCAAAACGCAAGCATAAGAAAGACTTTCACAGAACACAGCAGCCACAACAACAAATACATTCACATCTTCGTCTCTCTACTCCGCCATCGAAAGAGGGTCTCTTTTCTCTCTCTTTCTCTCTCTGATTTCTAGGGTTTTCGTAAGAACGGAGATAAGATGTTCGGGCGAGGACCCTCGAAGAAGAGCGACAACACCAAGTTCTACGAGATCTTAGGTGTTCCGAAGACCGCATCTCCTGAAGATCTCAAAAAGGCTTACAAAAAAGCCGCCATCAAAAACCATCCCGATAAGGGTGGAGATCCTGAGAAGGTTTGTTTTCTCTTAGATCCCTTTCCTTTTCGCTTCGATTCTGTAAAATTCGATCTGTTTTTTGTGTTGGATTCTCTTCACAACCTAGTTTTTTTATAGTTTGATTATGATTTTTCCGATCGATTGAGGTTTTAATTCCTGAATTTTGATCCGATCTGAGAAGTTCGAGTTAGGTTCATGCGATTTCGTTCTTAAATCGAAGTTAGGGAAGTTTTATGTGGACTAAACAATTTTGAGCTCCGATGTACTTAGTTTGAGATGATTACTCACGGATATAGCTTATTTGATGCACAAACACGATTTGGACGTTATGTTTAAACTGTTTTCAGTCGTATAGATTCTAAAGGACTGAGCTTCTCTTCCTTCTGACTATTGTGGGATTTAATAGTCGATTGCTTTGTTAGTTTTGGAGCGTATTACGTTAAGGGTATGTGTGGATTGTGATATTGATTTGTAATTATTTATATATGTCATTGCAGTTCAAAGAGCTAGCTCAAGCTTATGAAGTTCTTAGTGACCCAGAGAAACGAGAGATTTATGATCAGTATGGAGAAGACGCACTCAAGGAAGGAATGGGTGGTGGAGGAGGTGGGCATGATCCATTTGATATCTTCTCATCCTTCTTTGGTGGAAGCCCGTTTGGAAGTGAGTCGCTTTGGAACATTCTCTAGTCTCTTGTTTAAATCTGATGTCGCTATTTCGGATGATTTGAATCCTTTTGTTTTTCGGAACAGCTGGTGGTAGCAGCCGGGGAAGGAGACAGAGGCGTGGTGAAGATGTTGTTCATCCCCTGAAGGTTTCCCTGGAGGACGTGTACCTTGGAACAACGAAGAAGCTCTCGCTTTCTAGGAATGCTCTCTGCTCAAAGTGTAACGGGTTCGTACTTTTCTATTTTGCTTTCTGTGTATGTTTTACTGTTTGAGACGATGCTGAGAAGGTTCTTACTTTGTTTGTTATTGCAGAAAGGGTTCGAAATCTGGAGCCTCCTTGAAATGTGGTGGGTGTCAGGGTACAGGTATGAAGGTGACAATTAGGCAGCTAGGACCCGGAATGATCCAGCAGATGCAGCATGCTTGTAATGAATGCAAAGGCACAGGTGAGACCATCAACGATCGGGACAGGTGTCCGCAATGCAAAGGAGACAAGGTTATCCCGGAGAAGAAGGTGCTTGAAGTGAATGTGGAGAAGGGAATGCAACACAGTCAGAAGATCACATTTGAAGGACAAGCAGATGAAGCGGTCTGTACCCTCAAACATTTTTACTTTTAAGCTTTAATGACTACGTTTATTCTTTCTACTGACTTTATAACCTTTTGTGTTGGAGCAGCCTGACACCGTCACTGGAGATATAGTGTTTGTCCTTCAGCAGAAGGAGCATCCAAAGTTCAAGAGAAAGGGAGAAGATCTCTTTGTAGAGCACACGATTTCTCTAGCCGAAGCTCTATGCGGATTCCAGTTCGTTCTGACGCACTTGGATGGTAGAAACCTTCTCATCAAATCTAACCCCGGGGAGGTTGTGAAACCTGGTAAGTATTCATCTTTCTTCTGCTTTAATCTCCCTTTTGATTGATACATGATTTACTCAATTCTTGATTGTGTTTTTGTTTAGATTCATACAAGGCGATAAGCGATGAAGGGATGCCGATATACCAGAGGCCATTCATGAAGGGTAAGCTCTACATCCACTTCACGGTGGAGTTCCCCGAGTCGCTGAGTCCTGACCAGACCAAAGCACTCGAAGCTGTTCTGCCTAAGCCTTCAACAACTCAGCTCAGCGACATGGAGATAGATGAGTGCGAGGAGACTACGCTGCACGATGTTAACATTGAGGATGAGATGAGAAGGAAAGCACAAGCTCAAAGAGAGGCTTACGATGATGATGACGATGATGATGACCATCCCGGAGGAGCGCAAAGGGTGCAATGTGCCCAGCAGTAAGTAACCAGCCTTAGGGTGAGACCTTAGCCCACATGGGTTTTGGCTCCAACCATTTGCCTCTTCCTTTTTTATTATTTAAGTGTATTGGAGTCTTATGCAGTTTGGTACTTTTGGCTACTTCGGTGGTAAACCAACTTGTTTTTCGTTTCTTTTGAACTCTTAAATTTATGCAGTATTACAATTTTGTGTTTTTTGATATTATTAAATTTGTAGTAATTTAAATATAATCAACATATATACTACGTGTCTTTCTAAATAGAAAAAGTAACGAAATGGGGAGCCTTTACTTTGTAGCCATAAACTGGTTAAGGCTGACTTCTGGCAAAAGGTCGAGATAGTGAATCAATCTGTGAAGATTCTACGTTTCCATCTTTAATTTCAGGATTTCTTTTCGTTGATCGGTTGGGCACATATCTTTGAGCTCTACTATAGTGCTTTGCAAGGTCGTAGAATTGGTAACTCTCGTTCACCTAAATTGGAAAAGAGTGTCATTGAGACTAGTGAACACATGCTTTGAGACATGCAAATCGATTAGCTCTTTTGTCTACTTCCGTCTGCGGTTCGGCAAAAAAACTATCTTGTTTGAATTCTTACCTTTTGCAATGGAAAATACATGAGAGTCTTTCATATTTTATTCAGTCTGCTCAGATTCAAGTCGGTTCAGTGAGCATGAACGCAAAAATTAAAAACTTTGTTTGTTTCCTCATTTTATCTTTCGTTTTCAAAAACCCGGGGGAGAATATTGTAGATGTAAGCTTCTTTTCTAAAGATTGATAACATTGGATGGGCATGCTTCGATCTGTAGGACATCAAGCCGAGAAACCTAGGGAACCCCATCTTCCTATGCAGGCATCGATCACTAGTGCATGTAGGTCATATGCGCCCAGCTCTACGGGGGAGGTTTATTCTAATTTGACAAATACTAAATCAGCTCGGATAGACTTCAAAAACCAAATGCCATCGCCCAATACAAAAAAAAAAATCAACAACTGTTATGATTGATATAGTTAATAAATCAAAAAGAAAAATAAGATTTCTCACTTGGGGGCTAAAGAAATATATGCTCTGTTTAAACAAACGGTAGTTTTCAGTGGTTAGATGTGTGAGAAATTGTAACGCTCCGGTCGCCTTTATTAGTGAACATACTCACGTCTGTTTTTGGGCCTGTGGACTTCACTCTTATCTAATGGTCTATGCGTTAGTTGGGAAGTTCGAAAGTTATGAAATACTGATCCTGCAATTACCACATAATTTTTTTTGATGTTTCGTTCTTACTTATCCGATACCGTGAATTATTTTCAGATAGGTCACTCATTTTAATTTTGCTCTAGCTCAAGCATGCTTAGCTTTGGAGTTTTCTCAGTATCAATGACCGAAATAATAAATGCACCTTGGTGACATAGGTAGCCAAATCAATTTTCTTAAGCCTCTCCATATATATATTCATACTTTTAAAATCGGGATGCTACAATTTACCCCCACTCACTTAGCGTAACGTCTTTGTTGCACACCAAGATCGTTACCCCGATGGTGTGAGCGCTTGTGACTCCACATTCTCGTCTGAGTTCAGCTCTGATACCACTTGTAACGTTTTGGCCGGCTTTACCGGTAAGCACACCCATGTCCTGTCTCGGTCTGTGGGCCCTACCACTGACAGCCGTTATGTTAGCCGGTAGACTCGAAAGTCATGAAATTATAACTCTGCAATCACCACATGATCTTTCTCCGTATTTTGTCTTCACTGAGATCATACCGCAAATCACTTTCCGATAGGTCTCCTATCCTAATCATACTCCACCTCAAGCACGTTTAAATATAAAGATCTCTCAAGACCAGTGACCGAAAAGATCAAAGACGACTTAGTTGTGAGGACAAACTGTACAACCATTGCGGGCCACCTCCCAAGTCAAATAATATTTGGGTAATATTAAAGTTTAAATTTGTTAATCAATTATTAGGGTCTAATTTTGTGAGTTCCATTAATTATTAAAGGTTCAAATTTGTGTTTTAATCAATTATTAGAGCATAAATTTTGTTTTTGCCTAGAGACCATCAAAAATATTAAGCCGGCTCTGAAAAAAGTAAATACATTTTAATAATATAGATAACTAAATTAATTTTCTTAAATCTCTCTACATATATATTCATACTCTTGAAATCAGAAAGCTACATAAATCTTCTAAAGTATAATACTTGACAATCTTCATAAAATATCGAAAATTAGATATAACCACTCGAGCTGGTTAGATATGTGAGACATATGGCACATAGTGCATGTTAGCGCATCAATACAATACAAGGTAAAAAGTCTATACATCGAATATTTGTACTTTAGTGCAATTTCTTTACAGGTTCATAGGCAGAGAAGAAACCATTTACTTTTCGGTATTTTAAGTAAATTGTCAAATATATATTCTTTTTTTACTTATTTCGTTAAGCTACATGTTACAGTTGTATTGTGTTATAGCTGTTTGACACGTAAATTCCTTTTTAATGACATCTCTGTTAAAAAGTAAATTTGATGTTGAGCCAAGTTTAATTAGATCAGTGATCAAATTACTTTTTAGTAGTCCGAATTTAATATTGAAAATAAAATTTTCTCTAAAATTTATTAAATTGTTATTTGGAAATATTTTGCGAGATAAAAATGGGGTATGTCTTTTGAAATAAATTAACTTGATATAACTAATTAATTTTCAAAGAAAATGAATAGTATTTGAGCAGACACTCGTGTTTATCGCTTTAAACCTGAAATTTCTTACCAATCAGTGAGATGGTTTTTGGAAAGACAATAAAAGAGTTTTCTTTCCAAAATTTAGCGATGCTCAATTTCAATACGCACCACTAAGAACAAATACTAAAAAAAAATAGGTTTAATCAGGCTTTTGGGGATAGAACATCATATCTGAAAATCATGATGGTTATCTGATGTTTGTTTGATGATGACATTGAATACCATAAATCGACACGAGAGGAGGTTAAATGGCTCTCTTTCCAGGTGGAGTAAAGAGGGAAGAGTTTCTCTTGCAGAGTGATCGGTTCTCCCCAATAGTTTGTGGAGTCCTCTCCAGAACCTTATATCCAACGGGATCTCCATAAATCCAACCTCCTTTTTTCTATGTCTTCTCGCTCAATTTATACTCCTTTGGTCTCTGTTCTTACTAACTCCACCAATTCCATCAATTACTCATATCTTCTTGGGAATCAATAAAATTCTCTTCAACCACTCCCTGTTTTAGTGTTTGGCACCCACTCTGTACATCACGAGACCTACTGGGATGTTTGCAGATAATCTCGCTGCTGGGTGGGTCTCTCTGCTGACGTTGCACTTTCTGGTTGCTCTGGTAATATCAATCCCAACAATTACCCCGAACTTCCTGGATCATCTTCAAGGAGGCATGCAGTCGAATATAGACAACCGCTGTTCATGTAAAACATATATGAATTTTTAAATCCAAAGGAATTTGGCTCGTCACAATATTAGGTGAGACCTACCCCGACTGACCGTGCTTCTCGGAAGAATACAAGCCATGCCAGGACCAAATGTAAATTGTGTGACGTTTCCGTAGGAAAAGTGATCGCCCACGAGGGAGCTCTCCCTAGAAGGATTTACCCGCATTGCACAGCTAGAGCGCAAAACTATGGAGCCGCCTTTGCCCCCTATTGGCTTTATAGGGGAGTTATAGTTTTGAATTATCACGGGGATTGAAATGAAACATCGACGCTAAGGTGACACCTGACGAATGGCCACATGGACAACTTTTATAGGGAGAAAAGATTTCCCCCATGCGCGGGTCGTTAACACAAAGCATGGGGAGGGGTATTGCTTTTGTTGTACCATGTGCGTACATGCACTACCAGCTTGCAGGACGTTTCCCAGATGCATTATCCAGACTCCGGAATTGTCGGAACAGTCTTTGCATTGTGCTTATGCGGTAAAAGTTTGGTTTTTTTTTCAATCATGTTTTGACCTTACCTGAACGGAGCGATCATAAATAGTAAAAAGCAGCTCTCGGAAGAAAATCTCTGGGTTCCAAAGGGTGAACAAATCCGCGGGTAATCATGCTAATGAGAACTGGTTGCAACTATCCTCAGAAAGAGCTGGCGAACAGAAGAAGAAAATGGTTTGATTTGATAGGTCACTAATTTAATACTTTTCATAGTTCTTCGTTTGGAATTGTACTTATGGGGTAATTTTTTATTGGCAACCTAGAATCAATATTAGAATTATCAAAACAATTAATATGTTAATTTTTGACATTGTTTAAGGATGCAATTGTGTTGTGAGATGCGAATGCATATTTACGGAGTATTGTCAATCGAACTAGACTTTATCGCTGAACTTGTTGCATGACTACCATCAAAAGAGAAGTACATAAAAATTCTATAAATTCAAAATGTTAGGACTTAATTTTTTTTTATTAATTTCTAGAGTTAATAATTATTTGATAAATAATTTATTAATTTATAGAGAGAATTTTTAGTTTAAATTTTTAATGTTCATTAAGAGATCATAAAAATATTATTGACACTGTAAAATTCATTCAAAAATGTTATAACAGTGAATGAGAAAGAATAGTCCAACAACATTTATAAACTAGAAACAATAATAGAACCATTGTTTACTATATTACATTGGTTATATATGCATATATGTATAATTATTAATTTATTCGATTATTGGTATCATATATTTATATAAGATTTTCAAAAAAAATATTATCTTATTATCTTATCGAAATTAGCTAATTTTACACTAATCCGATTTAGAACCAACAAAATTTATTAATCTATAGTAATTATTAATTTATCGAATATTAATTTATAGAGATTCTACTGTAATTAAGTAATATAAATTTAGCCATTAGATATTTTGAAAAAAGATTTATCACACAACCATGTCTGAAGTTGAGAACTAGTGGAACCAATTACCTAAATCAATTGTTTGCTTGTTAGATCGATTCATAAAAATCCTGAGACATCCCTAAATCCAACGCCTC